TCCGTCCTCCTCCTCCAACGTCGTCGTCCGTCGTCCGTCGTCGGCGTCTCGTCGTCGGTTCTATTTCGTCACCGTCGTCGTCGTCGTTGTCGTCGTCGTCTTCCCTCTTCCCTCGTCGTTGTCGTCGTCGGCGTCGCCGTCCTTCCTCCTTCGTCGTCGTTCGCGTCGTCGCCGTCCTCCCTCCTCCCTCGTCGTTGTCGTCGTTGTCGTCGTTGTCGCCGTCGTCGTCGTTCCTCCTCCCTTGTCGTCGCCTTCGTTGGCGTCGTCGTCGTCGTCGTCTTCGTCGTCGTCGGCGTCGGCGTCGTTGTCGTCGTCGAAGTCGTTGGAGACGTCGTCGGTGTCGTCGTCGTCGTTGTCGTCGGTGTCGTCGTGGTCGGTCTTAAGGGGTTTTGCAAACCAAGTTGCGGGTGGGAGGGTGGGATGTTTGCGCGAGCAGTGGAGAGGACAGCTTCAAGTTGAGCAAGTGATTGATTCTCCTTTCTAGACTCTACCCCCCCCGGACTTAATGCTTCCCCCTGGGATAGTATAGTTTCATACATATATATATATATATATATGGTGATATATGCTGCACACTCGTCCATCCTAAATATGAAATCATACCATCCCAGGCAGGCCGGTTTCCCTCCCCCTGAGGTTCCTTTGTAAAAAAAAATCTATGCGGTGACATTTTTTGTTCTAACATAGCACTTTTTCACGAATCCCTTGCAACAAATGGGACGAAGTGCACACGCGCGCGTCGTCGCGCGCGCATGCCGAAATCCTTCAAAAACCTTCGGTGCCGGACGGATTTCGCAATCGAGTTTCCAAACAACATACAAAAACACAGGGTTTCGCAACACTGATTTGCTAAAAAAGCTTCCTCGCGAGCTCTTGCGAAATCTGAAGAAAACCATTGTTTTTTTTCAATATTTTCACAACATGCTACCAAACGGGCGTCGCGCGCGCATGTCGAAATCTGTCGAACGCCCTTGCGCGTGTGCCGTCGCGAGAATCCTCTGCAAAAAATGGGACGAAGTGCAGACGCGCGCGTCGTCGCGCGCGTACGCCGAAATCCTTCAAATCCCATCGTTTTCGGAAGGATTTCAAAATCGCGCGTCCAAAAAACCTACAAAAACCCAACGTTTCACAACACGGATTTTCAACAAAAGCGTGCGCGCGCGCTCTTGCGTCGTCGTCGTCGTCGTCGTCCTCCCTCTTCCCTCGTCGTCGTCGTCGCCGTCGTCGCCGTCGTCGTCTTCTGTCTTTCCTCGTCGTCGTCGTCGTCGTCTTGGCGTCGTCGTCGCTTCCGTCGTCTTTCCTCCCTCGTCGTCTTCGTCGGCGTTTCGTCGTTGTCCCTCCTATTTCGTCGTCGTCGTCGTCGTTGTCGTCGTCGTCTTCACTCCTCCCTCGTCGTTATCCTCCTCCCTCGTCGTCGTCGTCGTCGTCCGTCGTCGGCGTCTTGTCGTCGTCCCTCCTATTTCGTCGCCGTCGTCGTCGTCTTCGTCGTCGTTGTCGTCGTCTTCGTCTTCCCTCCTCCCTCGTCGTTGTCGTCGTCGGCGTCGCCGTCCTTCCTCCTTCTTCGTCGTTCGCGTCGTCGCCGTCTTCCCTCATCCATCGTCGTTGTCGTCGTTGTCGCCGTCGTCGTCCTCCCTCCTCCCTCGTCGTCGTCTTCGTTGGCGACGTCGTCGTCGTCGTCGTCGTCGTCGGCGTCGGCGTCGTCGTCGTCTTCGTCGACGTCGACGTCGGCGGTGTCGTCGTAGTCGGTGTCGGCGGCGCCGTCGTCGTCGTTGTCGCTGTCGTCGTCGGCGTCGGTGTCGTGGCCAAGTGCCATGTGGTACCTACCGTCACGGTCTTGTCTTAAGAAGTCTTGCGACCAAGTTGCGGGTGGGTGGGTGGGATGTTTGCGCGAGCAGTGGAGGTGGTCAGGCGCGGTGCAGGGTAGTCAAATGCGCCACATAGCTTCCACCACCTATATTGGACCACGTAAATGGCACCAGACAACTTGCACCACATATTTTGCTGAACATAGATTGCTCCACTTGGATTACATCGCAGAATCTGCTAGAACGCACTCTTTAGGGTCCACGATGGGGAACATGATTGTACAGTGTCGCATTCCTTGCCATGTACTTTGAATGGCAGGTCCCTCGGGTGCTCGTCTTCCAAGGGGGTGCCTGCTGTAGTGAAAGGGAAGGTTTTTCCCAACCGTCGTGTGGTGTTGGGTCCTCGTTTTGAAGAGACGGTGGCCCGCGTCTCCTCTCCTCCTCTCCTCCTCCCCCTCCTCCTTGCGTTTCGCCCACCCAGCACAGCGTTTCGTAGCCCCATAGGGAGCTCCACCGAAGGCCCCAGTGGCAGGGTTCGCATGGCGGCCTCGGGCCATTTCGGCACACCCCTCACGAGGATCGTGGCCCCATAGGGAGCTCCACCGAAGGCCCTAGTGGCAGGGTTCGCATGGCGGCCTCGGGCCATTTCGGCACACCCCTCACGAGGATCGTGGCCCCATAGGGAGCTCCACCGA